CAGGACGGCCGGCCGCCGCTGCTGTTCGGGGTGCCGGGGCCCCGACACGCACAGCGCAATATCCTGCTCTTGTTTACCCCGCACTAGTTGATAGCGTATACGCGGAAGGTATAGACCACGATCCCGGCGCGTTTAATTCGAGCTCCAACGCGTTGTTTTCTCTGCAAATCTATTATTGCGCCCTTTCAGGTGGGGGTAGCAGGTTTTACGGAGATAGAGTATGGATTTTATTGCGAAATTCACAAATGTTTATGTGACTACCGTTACCCCGGGGTTGACTTATTTGATCTTCGGAGCCAAATAATTTATGTACTGTGAAAAATCACTGCTTGGACTTTGAAACGAATTTTGTTGAAAAAAATATAAGTACGAGTCCTTACGAGTCTCTGTACTGAAGGAGGGGAAGAAAAAAAACTGTTTGAAAAAGAGCTGTAAGAGAAAAAAAATCTCGGATATTTTTATGTAACTTCAAAAATTCACATTATACAGTAGAGAAAGAGTTTAAATGCAAGAAAAGACAATTTTTTATTCTTTTCGTTGAGCCAATAAAAATAGTTCTTATTGCCAAAAAATGAGAAAAAATTGTAACTTATATAGTAAACGAACGAGAGATCTTAAAAAATACAATTTTTGATTAAACAACGAAACAACAGGTCTAGATAGTGGAAAAATCTAGATAGCGAAAAAATTCTACAACGCGTTTGGAAAAGCTAAAGTTATATCTTCAAAAAAAGTGTCAAAATTCTGCAATATTTTTGGATTCTTCCTCCAACTGATTATATTTTATACCTTTACAGAAAAACAAACAAAAATACTGCTAAATACACTTTAATCAATCACAGAGTGTTGAAATAAATTTGTAAAGTAACCAACATTAAACCTATTTTATATTGGAGCAGTTGTGTCTCGTATTATATAACTTGTACATAAAAGCACTGCATAAAAGACAAGCGCTGCGGGCAATGCCAAAACGTGATTGCTCGGAAAACACCAACTATTTTCAATCGTAAGATATACCTATCGGAAAATTCAACGCACCGGCGTAAGTTTAAATAAGAAAAAAAAAATATCAGCAGTATATAGTCCGGAGCGCTTGCGTCCGACGGAACCGAGGGGCATACATATACATATATACAGAGTAAGTTTACAGACAAGAGAGCACCAGAGAGAGAGAGAGAGAGAGAGAGAGTGCGAAAAAGACCCCAAGTGATAATAAAACCCCGAAACTATCAAGCAACTTCTGTAGAGCGCGTATATGACTGGCGAAGAAAGAGATAGGAAAAGAGCAGAGAGGAAGGAGGAGCGGTCAGTACATACCTTGTAGTACCACCCTCCACCTATATGTACCGCTGGCGCGGTTATTTCGTGGACAATAAAAGGCCGCTTTTTACGGCACCCCGGAATCACCGCCGTTCTCCACCCTCAGCTTCCACTCCACCCTCGGCGAGTAACGCGATTCTTCTTCCGTTGACGATTCCACTTTTGTTTCTTTCACCCTCCCCTCCCCTCCCCCCTCCACCAGCACGAAATGTGCTTTTCAGCGAGCGTGAAATAGCCGACACGGCATTAAACTGCCTTGCCCGCACCTACACACCTGTGGATGTATATATATGCATGTCTGGGAGAAACGGGGCGTGGGTGCAGGTTGTTGTACGCGACCGCGTAAATTATCAATGCAATCACGGATTCGCGAAGAATAAATGCGTGTGTGTTAGTGGCTATACGTTTTACACTGTTTGTTATTATCAACGGAGCGGGCAAAATTATAATTATTAAGTGATGCTGCCAAGTAAAACTGCTACTTTTGGATCATCGCAGTTTTCCAAGTAAAATTAAAAAAAAAATAGATAAACAATATTTCTTTCCAAATTTCAACGGAAAAAACGACAATTAGCCAAACAGCGTGAACCAATAGGTCCCGAATTCAATGAAAGCCCGTGAAAAAGAAAGACGCACCTGCAATATTTCCCCATCCCAAGCCCACCATGGCAATGAATAACGCACATCTGAAAAGTAACGCGCCGCGCAAAATGAAATTAACTGCCGGTAAGTACAGCTGCACACGCTTCGTCCCGTATTTTTCCCTCGTGCATCTCTCTCCTCCTCCCAGCGCCCGTATAGGTACGTCATATAGAATCGAAGTTTGTAATGCAGCCCTGGGGGGGACCAACCGGTATGCGTTATGATGCATTTACTTTAGCCCGCGAACACAGAGACGCGGATACAGACACCCGCATAGAATTTGGCGGGTCCAATAGTCACGCACATGCATACCGAGGACGCGCGTCCAATTTCAGGTGTCCTATAGGTATAAATAATATCAACTCTGGTGCAATTCACGCAATGTCGCGTTTATACCCCTAATTATGCGCGTCCACGCTCACAATAGCTATTTACCATACATCCCCTGTTATTCCACACAATACGTTGACTCGCATCATTTTGATTCGATCCATCCGTTTAATGTACACACGATTCCCTCCGTATAACATAACGCACACTTGACAATTGCCTTGTCTCGTTTCATTAAAAAGTCGCGTACACGCGTCCAAATCTCGGTGTGGTTATACTTTTGACGCTCGCTTGATACCGCGGTAACATGTTCCAGAAGCCAAATGTGCCCGGGCGCGAGTGAGCACCCAATCAAAACGAAAAAGAAACAGAGCCGCGTACATACGCAACAAACACCGCGGGATTAATCAGCGCAGAGCAGCCTGTTGGCGCTCCCTCTCTCGAACTGTCGCCTGATCTCAAAAAGCCGAGAGCCACCAGGGCGTGCGTCGCTCTTATGCAAACAAACAATCGTTGCGTCTGTGACTGGTACATATATATATACATATACTCTGTCGATCGGGCGGGAGGGTGAGATCTTGACAGTGTAGGCACATATATATATAATATATTGTACGTAACATGTATACGCTAGCGGGAGAGCACGGCTGAACGACTCGAAGATCGATTGCAATTGCAAGTCAAGGCTGATTTTCGGGTGCCCAGGTGCTGCTGTCTCTGTCTGTGTATGGGTTCCCCGATCGCAAACAATGGGACTTGTTGGACCGATGTCACCAAACGTGAATTAGCGTCCTGATCGAGAGAGGGGAGCTATATATATGTGTGTAGCGGGTGTTGGTAAACTGCCTCGGAAGAGTTAATGGCTCGTTTGACTGATGGCAAGGGACAGAAGGTGCCTGAAAATTTTTACTCTCGAGTGTATAAATCATATATTATGGTTGTACTTGTTACATCGTTTGGATGAGTGACTTTTGAGTGGGATGATGCGAAAGGGGTCGCGTGTACCTATTGTGCTTCGCTTTTCAATGGCTTTTCTTTTGTTATCTCGTTTGCTTACATCACAGACTATTTATTGAATTATCTCTTGTGACTTTTTTTTTTTTTTTTTTTTTTTTTTTTTTCAATTTTGCTCTTTGTACCAAAGATAATATAAACAAAATTTTTTACAAGTGAATCAAAAAAGTCCATCAAAAGGGTAGGATATTTATTGCAACCAATTAAATACCTGTAGGTATATTTGAGTAATTTTAATAAATAGGTAATGCAGTATGTTATCTTTTTGTAAAATTATTTTGTAACAGCTCGTACCTCTTGATAAGAGGCATTGTTTTTACCTTACAGCCGTCAATTTTTATTATGGAAGATTTTAAATTATTTACGTGGTTATTTTAATTTTTTTTTTTTTTTTTTTTATCAGAAACGTTATTGATCAACCAAAAAAATTGTAAGTTTGGTATATCATGTCAGCTAAGTAGGTGAGTTACTCATAGATGGAAAACGAAATCTACTATTCGTAACTGTCTACAAAAACAAACGTATTTTTATATGAAATCACATAAGAGTGCAAAAGCCAGAAAAAGTGCAGTTAAAGTCCATAATAGGTTACGTAGGTATATGCGTGAGAGGTGATAATGTAAAAGGATACGAGAAGGGTGCAACGGGTACTACTATACTACAGATGTATGGAAAAGAAAAAAAAAAAAAAAAAAAAAAAAAAAAAAAAGGTTTCATAGCATTACGAGGCCGCAATGATACATAAGAGCTTCCCGAGCAGGCAGATCGAGAGACAAATGGAAGATACCACCAGCGCGTATATATACAAGTAAAAGTATACACTTTATCCCTCGCCGCAGATGCCGGTTCTATCCGCTCGGCCCAACTGGCCGTGAGTCTATACACACGGAGGCGAAAATTTGAGATTTATGGACCGCTCGTCAATACCTTCGAATGCACCATTGCTTTCCCATTTCGCTGCTCCAGCCCCTTTCCTCCCTCTGCCCCTTTCTTTGCCGCGTATACATGCTATTCTCTTGCGTATTGTACACAATTCACGTGCATACATGTACACTGATGGTTGTATACTTATTGGCTCGTGGGTCCGGCGCGAGTAACTTGAGGCGATTTTACGAGGGATTACGTCGTAGGGGACCATCTGCCGAGAGTACTCCACGATGATGCGGTTCGAAGACTAATTATCGGGATTGCGGAATTGAGGGGGTGTTATATGCGCGCCTCCGTGTGGTCACACGTATGATCCTCGGATCAGCTGGAAATGCGGATCGGGAGGAGCTCGAGCGCGATAAATGACTCTTTTCCCTCCCTCGCGTTCATTGACGAAATCGCGCCGGTTCATCCTCCGGCCATCAATTTTAATCAGCTCCGCCGGGAGATTCCTCTCGTACCCGGGTGGGTTTTGTTCATCCGAGCGAATGGACTTTCTGATAAACAAGCTATATATACATGGGGTACAACTTGTGGGTGACGTTCTCGCACTTTGAGCGTGAGAATTCGCATAACGTGGCCAACGTATGACGTCAAAATCTGGTTTTTCCCTCTAAGCCCTTTGTTTACATGACTCGTTGGATTTTGACGTACGAAAGAGCGGAAACGACAGGTCGTTGGTATACGATGGTACGGGAGAGGAAATAGAGAGGGATTAGGGCAATAAGGAGCGAGAGAGAGAGAGAGAGAGAGAAAAAGGAAGGAGAATGAGCGAAAACAAGGGTGTTTGGGCCCCCGAGAGTCCCTTTTGTATTTTCTCCTGCGTCCACGTTCCAGATGGCAGGAACAACAACAACAACAGCAGCAGCAGTCCCGACTGTGGGTAAGACTCCGAGACAAGACGGGGTCGTAATTGAGCTTTTCGCTCAGGTATAACTGAAGAGAAGGTCAACGACACATTTTTAAACATAAAAGGGCCATATCGCGACACGCAGGTACAACAGGACACTTTTTCCATCTCTTGCAAAGTTGGCAACGGCATCGATAGGCTGCGTTCGACAATACGCAAGTCCCGAATTGCACCTCGGAGGCTCGTCTGCGAGTACCTGGGGCACGTTGGTTGGGAAATATCGTCATTTCCGCTTAGTGCGGCCGACGGCGCCCGATTATCCATCGAGCGAATTGCCCCCTCTCTTTTTTCCAAGCCCCCATTACCATACGTGTGCACACGAGCATCTGCTCGCGATAACACTATACGTGGATACAATGGACGAGCTGCTCTCGATAATAGGACACCGTATCTGCTCCATAAACATTTTTATGTGCGGTTTTTTCGATACTTAATTTTTATCAACGAATCGGACAATATATAATGGGGCGTGGACTCACCAACATTCAAACGCGAGGACGTTGACATCTCTCATACGTTGTTATCAAGGTTTTTTTTTTTTTTTTTTATCACTCGTTAAAAACTATTCAAAATGACTAAAATCTCCAAATGTAGTTACAATTCAACTACAATTGGTTATACGTGGAAATTAGTTATTTAATAAGAAGTAGAAAAAAACGAGGATCAATAACTTACAGCATAAAAAAAATTCAGAATCAGAAGAAAGTATCTCTGTGGAAAAGCACCAAGTCGCGATAAAAATAGATTTGTAAATCGCACCGATCGGTGGGTGCAAGTGTTTCTTCTGGGCGAGCAAACATTTAGCCCAGCGGCACTCGAGAATACAAAGCCGATTACAGCCGTCACAGATATCCATCTCTTGGTCCTCTCGAGCGATTCGAAAACGAAGGATCCCAACTATATATACGCACAGGAGGTAGCAACACCCCCGTTTGGTGCACGGGGGTGACTGCCAATCGGAAAACACGATTACGCGGCCGCGCGATCGCAAAAGGGGTCACCTGACCTCTTAATCCCGCTTCAAGTGGCCTCTGCCACTACATGCGCCGTTCAAACGCATTGTCATCTGTTATACACACGCACGTGCATTTAGTGCACGTCGACCGCTAAACCCATAAAAACCGAGAGACTCTCCAATGTGTGTACGTACATTCACTCGTTTCAATTGCAAACAGATGTGGCAATGTACACCCGTATCGCAAGGAACTTTCGTGACCCATCCACCCTCCGGCTCCCCGTCTCGAAGGCCCATCGCTCAAATCAGTCGACGCGTCCGATTTTTCATCCTCTGTCTTCCTTCTGTCGGGTATGGTGTTTGTGCCTCGTAGTGAATTTGGATATGGATACATATGGGGCACCACTGGGGGGGGTGAATTTTTTCGAAACACTTGAAAGTACTTTACTTACCCGAGGAGATAAACGCTTACGAGAACTTGCTCAAAGTACTCATTTGTACGAGTATAAAAATTGTGTTTTTGAAAAAGTCGAAGGTTTAATTGTTGTTTTTGTAAAATTGTAACTTTGGGGTAACGGTATAAAGTGTCTCGATGAATTTAATCAAGAGTCCGACTCGTGGCAGTTGCATTGCAGAACAAACAAACGCAGGCGAAAGTGTACATGGGAGAGCGGAGCCATCAATCTCTTTCAGAAAAACATAACGGGGCCCTTTTGCGACTCGAGCCATCACCAAAAACCCCTTAACCGCGATAAACTTTCCGACCGCATGAGCTACCGTGTAGCAGCAGGTCGCACCCGCACTATTTGCAGTATGGGTGTATATACACAGCAGATACGGGGCATTGTAACAAGTGCGCCGAGTCTGTGCCCATTATCCGGCTACTGCACGCACGCGACCAGCAACAAATGCAACACTGCCCCATTGTGTGTCCGTTATATACGTTACATGTATTGTTGCTCCCGTGCATAGTACATCAATACACACGTAGACATCATTGGGCGTGCGAGCGAATCTCTTCCCCGTGGCACCCCTGCACTTTTGGTGCGCTCACCCTCTGTCTTTCTTCAGCGCGCGCCGCTCAAACGCACTTTGCCGGCCAACGAGCCGTGAAGAGAGCGTCATATGTGCCGTCTTCTATTACTCGTATCATTGTCGGCTTGCGTGTGTGGGGTGCGTGGGGGGGGGGGGGAAGGGAGAACTAGACCGACTTGCTTTTGCGGATGCTGTCTATTTTTTTTTTTTGTCCACCGTGACAAAGAGGGGCGAGAGATAGGGATCGCTTTTCGGATGGACGTGTACATGTGGGCGCGGGGCCTAATAGAGTTTTCTTGTAAGCGCGATATTTTTTAGCTGTGTAAGCGCCAGTGGGGGGTGCTAAGGTGGAATCGGACCGACACCGAGGATGGACAAGTGGATCCTGATGTCTTCTTTTTTTTTTTTTTTTCTACTCAGATGGTGATGTTTTTAATAATATAAGTCTTGGGATTTTTGCTCTTAGGTCTTTGTCGAAGGTTAACAATATAATACAAGTAAATGTTTACGCCAACAGATCAAGTTGACGAGTGACAACATTTTTTAATTCAGTGCCATTGTATAAAGAATTTTTATATCCTAACTTTTTTCCTAAGGTTGGATTGTTAAAAATTTCTTAAAAATAAAAAAAAAAGACGAAAATAATTTCGGGCCTTAGGTGAGAATAAGAAACGGGTTGTTTAAACATTTATCGAATTTTGAATGGATATTTTTTGTAAAACCGATCTTACGCATGTACTTGGTTTTTCAAAGACGGTATTGCTCGATAAATAAGAAAGGACGTGATGTTTGTCTCGCTGCATACGTGTATCGTAAAACGAATTTCCGAGTGTAATTAACTAGAAGTGGTGGTCCGAGCTGTGCGAAAAATACGGCATTAAAAAAAAAAGCCGCCACTGGTTGGCTTTCCTCTATTCCTTTGCCGACAAGCAGTAGAAAAATGCCCCATAAATCACGTGGCTCTCACTCTCTCTGGCTGTACTCATTCAATAGATATCTCCTGTAATTCGTTTCAATCCTCGTGATCGTAAAATTTTCAAAGGTACGCAGTCAATTTAAGACTGGTGAGCTGTAAATTTGCAAACCACCAAAGTCAAGCGAGCGTCAGGCAAACTGACGAGTTACACGTATACCGAGCAAACAGAATATAAAAACTCGTACACACATGTGCACGCGGTTAAAACTGAGGATGGAGAATTAGTCAGGATCTCCGCTCTGGCATGTGCGGTAAAGTTGCCGAGTCACGTTTAGGACAGCGCGCTATTATCGAGGTATTGGTCGATAATCTCCTTACCTTTTGGATATATTATTAGTAGTGTGGCCCGGGGCCTCAAGTCAATTGCAGAAGGAAATGTGGAAAATTTTTCGGGCTCCGAACTCTCACTGCGATTTAACGATACCACGGTGGCTTCGAGCCAAAGGGTTGCTCGGATATCGTATTCAATCTCGGAGAGGAAACGATGTTTAACTACATTACATTGGAATTTTAGTTATTTTTATCAACTACGATTATAAGAAAACGCGTCACTACTTACGTGGTTTTTCCAGGTTTTCCCATTTAATCATTTTCTTCGTTTAATGACAATTTTTACTTGTGGGGTATTGTTTTTCATCATACTTTAGTATAAATTACGCAAACGAAGAACCAATCCTTCCATTCTTCAAAAATGATTGGTTTGGCAAACAAAAATAAGTAAAATTAACTTAACAAATTTTTTCGCATATTATAATACAGTGTAACTTTAAAAATCAAACCTCAATGTTATTTAAATATTATTATAATCTTATTTCTTTACTATTGAATTATTAATCGTATTATTATTGTTTTAAACAAAGACTTGAAAAAACTCTAGTACCTCGTTTATTCAAATCACAGCCAGTGGCATTATCTCCGGAGCTTCGAGTTGTACGCATTATGTACAATTGGACGCAACGCCGCTGTGCACAGGTCGATGTTTTTTTTATTTTCTCTAAATTGATCTCTAGACGATCGTGCGACGACTAACTGCTCTGCATAATCCGGCAATTAAAATTCTCGTTTGCTCCGCTATAAACAAATAAGATAAAACGGGCTTTTCCTCCGTGGAGTCTACCACGACGCTGTGGAATACTAGAAATAAAGGGAAAGTTGGCCTTTTCACTCTTGGTGACTGCATCACGTACCTGTACACCCAAGAAATGCTCAAGTTAAGAGACAACTGGGACACGCAGCGTTTTATTTTGTTGCTCGCATTAAAACGATACGTCGAAAAAACGTTTTGATTGATATTCGTAGAAAAAATTGTACTCATTTTTTTGTTCTCTAAAAGATATTAAAATTATGGAGAGACCAGTCATGTAAAAATTAAGCTTTGATAGAACAAATTTCTAGAAAATATTTTTTTTTTTTTTTTTAAATACATAAATTTTCAAAGTAAAAAAATATAATCTTATTTCAAGAGATTATCTTCTAATATCTGGTCTAGTTAATATTCTCTCGTTGCTAAATTTTTTTTTGAAAAACTAGTAAATTATAAATCTCGCATTGATCATCAAAATTATTTTAAAACCCAACGAATAAAATTTTGAAAAAGCCTACCAGCACAGTTCAAAAAATATTATAGTTCAAATTTCTTAAATAATGTTACTTCTAAATCAACACTTGTACTGCGAATGAAAGAAAAAGATTACACAGAATTTCAAAAGTGCCCTAACTTCGAGTTGGAAAAAAAATAGGGACTCAAAGTGACAATTAAAAGTCCAAGCAATAGGTTGAAATACATCAGACGTAATAATACAACTTTCATTCGAAAGCTCTCAGCAGATGATCCGATGAAACCCACTTGTTCGCCGCAAGCCACGCGAGAGCCAAACTTTGAATTAATAAATCCACGAATCATCCATATTTATGCGTCCGAGCAACGCGTATATACCTACGTACAACAGCCACGTATCCTTGCCCGAAAGTACGTCCAGTTTCTGGGGGGGCATGGTTACAAGCACCGGCGCTAAAGGACGCGCCCGGGGGATCCCACCGCCACAGCCCTGCCCTCGCAACTTTATTAATATCCTTATCAAAAACACCAGCGCTGCTGACCAAGGCTGTGGCCGGAGTAAGGCGACGCCGCGGGGGTGGGAGGGTATCTCGAGGGCTCAGTGACCAGTGTTGCGTGAGAGAGAGTTTTCGAGGGTATATACATGTACCCCGCGCTACAACAACCAAAGTTGGAGTCGGGACGA